CCCTCCCAGGGAACCACAGCAGAGAGGTGGGGAGGCGGGTGTGAGGGTCTCCTGCGACTTCTCCATCAGCCTCAGAGAAAACTGTTTCCTGGCCTCAGGTGCCTCTTCCCTAGAATGCAGATTACAGGAAGAATGCCTAACATCCACCTGATGCTGGGCAGTTTTCCAGAGCACTTTTCCAAGGAGGGTAGCCAGGGCGAGTTACAAATGTGGTCAACTATACTTTTTTTAATCTTTAATTTTTTTTAATGTTTATTTTTGAGAGTAAGAGCAGGGGAGGGTCAGAGCGCAAGGGAGATACAGAATCCGAAGCAGCTCCAGGCTCTGAGCTGTCAGCACAGCTGTTGGTGGTGTCGAACCCACCAACAGCAAGATGATCACCTGAGCTGAAGGCAGGCAACTCAACCACCTGAACCACCCAGGCTCTTGTCCAGCTAATACCTAGTGAGTGTCTACTGCGTTCCCAGCAATGTTCTGATCTGGGGTCAAGGAAACAACAAAAAACCTTGGCCTCAGGGAATACACATTCTGGGCTGGGGGAGGGCAAGATGGCAAATAAAACCTGCAGTGTTAGGTGCTGATCTGCTCAGGGGAGATATGGCAGGAAGGAGGCGGTGTGATTTTCACTAAGGCAGTCAGGGGAAGGAGACCCCAAAAGACTTGAGCAAGTGAGTAAAGTGAGGGGTCTTGGGGCGAGGAGAGGGCGTCTGGGTAGAGGGCACAGCTAGTGCAAAGACTATGCGGTGCTCAAAAGAGGTCTGCACTGAGCTGTGGTTTGCGGTTTCCAGGGGGCGAGAGAGGAACCACAAGCATGGGCAGAGGTGCAGCTTGATGACCTCCAACCTTTGGAGTTGGCCAAAAGCACCCCTAAACGCCGCTCGAATCGCAGAATGACGTGGAGGAGGGCGGCTGCCATCCCCTGAGCCCTGCGCCCCCGCAGATGGTGTAACCACGTGAGCCAAGGGCCCTGGGAGGATGTCTCGGTTCCGAAGACATCGGGGCAGGGAGGGGCCTCGGGAAGATCTGCCCCACCCTACGTGCCCCCCAGAGCCCCGAATTCCCTCCTTAGGCAGAGCTGGGACAGGACCCCAGGTCTTTCTGACGCCCCCAGAAACGGCAAGCAGTGCAGTGTGTCCCTGGGCTCCTGACCAGGGTTTTCTCACTTCACAGGGTGTATGAGAAGCGGATTCTTCAGCAGGCAGTCAGCTCTCTGACCCCTGAGCCACTTCATCCCCCTCGAGGGTGCGCCTGTAGTCAGGCAGGACCTGGGGAGGTGGCAGGTCTGGGAACAGAGATGCTTTCCCGGAATGGGTGGGGGAAGCTCACAGGAAGGAACGTCGGGTGTCTGCGCAGCTGGAAGGGAAGAGGGACGGCCCTGGATGATGGAAAAACAAGAGCTGCAGAGATAAGATTCAGGGCCAGCGCGGCTGCAGAGGGAGGCGTGGAAAGAAGAGGAAACAGTGTCCAAGCTCCTTTACCTGCCAGGCCTCAGTGCAAACACCAGCAATCTTCTATCTCACCATCTCTCAAAGTTCAAGGAATATAGCCACCCTTTTATTTTTATTACCTAATATATGTAAAAGGCAAGAAAGTCAAAGGCACATCGTGTTGAAATTATGTTTCATAATTTTTGTTGCAAATGGGATCTTGTTCCTGTTGCATCCTCTAGTTAGTTTCAAAATAATACATACAGCGGGGTTGGGGGGTGCGCAGGGGGCTCAGCCGTTAAGCGTGGACTCTGGGTTCCGGCTCAGGTCATGATCTCATGGTGGTTCATGGGTTCGAGCCCCACGTCGGGCTCTGCGCTGACATCGGGGGGCCTGCTTGGGATTCTCTGTCTCCCTGTCCTTCCCCCAGACCTCCCGGCCCTGCCCCTGTGTCAGCCCCGGGAAGCCTTCCTGTTTCTCGCTGGCCTGAGCCCAGAGTCTCTGTGGGTTATCCGGGGCAGATGGCTCCAAGCTGTGCCGTGCGTGTTCTCTGGGTGGGTGTCCTTGGACCTGGCTGTGTAATGGGCGCACCGCGATGGCCCATGAACTGTTCCCTGGGCACTACCCCAGAGGTTCTCGTGCACCGGGTCTGGGGCCGGATCTGCGGACCGAGGCAGCCCTCTTCCTTCTCTCTGACACTCCGGGCATCTCTGCTCAGATTGGTGTTTCCTGGCTGGTGGAGGGATGGGGACAGATGGGCACTGAGGGCCAGGAAGGGCGTCTGGAGCCAGTGCCCCGGAGTCTGCTCCCCTGCATTCTCAACATCTCCCTTAACCCATCGATTCGAATTCTCAGACTTTTCCAGTAATGATGCAAACGGATACTTTGTAAGTTTAACAAATGCAGTAAATTGCTCATTCAGGGACCTGCTCATTTAAGACATGGATTCTCCGTCAAGTGTCTTCCAGCAAACAGGTTCTAGATGACTTGACCTGTGGGCAACTTGATGTGAGCCTTACAGTGTATGGGCCAGAAGCCCACGTGCACTTCCTGGAGGTCTACTCTGGAGCAAGGACTGGCTTCCGAGGCCTCAGTTTCCTCAGCCAGAAAAGTGGGGTCACCAAAGACCTCTCCCCACAGACTTGTGGGAGGAGTCACTGTGCTAACACCCTCATGTGCTCAGGGAACGCTGGCCTCCCAACGGCCCTGGATGTGCACCCTTGCCCCTCTGTCTGGCCCCATCTAATGACCCTTCCCCACCTGTCTCCTCTGGGTGAAGCGTGCACCTGGGGTCCCCGTCAGGACCATGCTCTGCTTCCTGTTCTCATCCAAGCCACTTTCACATTGAGGGAACACAGCCCTGGAAGTGTTTTCCTATAAGGTACAGGATCCAAAATATGCACATATTGCTGTTCCAATTATTATTGAAGGAAAGCATGAAATCTAGACATTCTAACAGAGCACCTGCCGGCCCCTGAGACCTGAGAGCACACCAGTCTGAGATTTACCATTCTAGGGGCAACGGACCCACACAGGAAAGGCAGCAGGCAAAGGCCAGGGGTGGAGGAAGGGAAAGCCCATGAACCACAGGGTGTCAGGCCACACTTCATGCTTCGCGGCTGGCCTGGCCTGATGTGGAGGAGGGAGAGGGATCCTGTGGGATCTCGTGGGCAGGGACACCGTGCTCCGTGGAGACGGCTTCTCGGTGGCTTTCACTGAGCCAGAGAGCGGGTATAGAAGGAGTCCTCTCACTGCTGTTGGCTGCTCCCACTCCCCTCAGACCTTGACGGGCAGCTGTGAGATGTGCGTGCACACACACACACACACACACACACACACATGCCATTCTATCTGGTCCTCTAATCCCTGTGCCAGGGGTTCAGTGTCCCAAAGGCAAAGTCATAAGGAATTCAAGTATATGTTTCCTAAGGAAAACAGCAACACAGAAAGGAAGTTTCCAAAGACAGGAGGGCAGAAAAAAAGAAAAAAAAAAACCTAACAGAAGACCTACACACATGTTTGTTCTTCCCAAACACAGAAAGACCTAACCGTTTTCAAAAGACCGGAGGAAGTCAGAAAAGGTGGACTGAGGCATCGGAGTGTGATGGGGAGGGGCGGGGCTAAGAAGATAATCAGGGAGAAAAGGGATGCTTTTGCAGAATTAAACTTTTTTTTTTCGGGGTGCCTGGGTCGCTCAGTCGGTTAAGCGTCCAACTTTGGCTCAGGTCATGACCTCATGATTCATGGGTTCGGGCCCCCCGTCGGGCTCTGTGCTGACAGCTAGCTCAGAGCCTGGAGCCCGGTTCTTACTCTGTGTCTCCCTCTCTCTCTGCCCCTCCCCCACTCACACTTTATCTCTCTGTCAAAAATGAATAAATGTTAAAAAAAAAAAAAAAAAAGAACCCAGCAGGAGGTGAGGAGTGACCCTGGACATCTGGGAACTGCCTGCCTGGGGGAGGTGATGGGCATGTCATGGCCTCAGGCAGGACCAGGCCTGTCGTGTTCCAGGAGCCAGAGGGCAGGTGCCCAGAGCCTATGTGAGCCCAGGCAAGACAGGGAGGAGACTGAGTTCAGAGAGGTGTCAGGGAGCCAGGTCAGCTCCATCTGACCTAGAGACCCGGGGCCAGAAGGGCCTCAGAGCTGCCCGTGACCCACCACCTGCTGGGCAGGTGAGACACCAGGGGACAGGTGGGAGGCACGCCGCGGGCTCCGGGATAGAACTGGGCTCCTGAACTCCTTTCTCAGACCTGACTCTGAGCGGAGCTGCCCTGGCCTGGGCCGGAGGGAGGGCTGTGCTGTCAGCCCTGCGGTGTCCAGGAGGGACCTGCTCCCTGGGCCCTGAGGGCGGGGCTGGGACACCCGGCTGCGCGCGGCCGCCGCTGCAGCGTCTTCCACCAGGGGGCGCTGCCGGCACGGCTTCGCCCGCAGGCCCTGCTCCTGCTGAGGCTGATTCAGGGACCCCCTGGCCCAGCGCCCTGACTGCAGCCCACCCCCTGCGCAGGGCGCTTCCCAGCCTCGCTGCCCGGGTCTCCGTATCTGTCTCTGGTTGGGCCCTGGGAAGAGCCCTGTCCATGTGTTGGCTATTGTGAACAACGCCGCGGTGAACGCGGGGAGGGAGCAGATTCTTCAAAATCCGGATTCCAGTCCCCTCAGATAAATGCCCAGATGGGAAACTGTGGGGTCATATGGTATATTTCAATGTTTTAGTTTTTTTGCAGAAACTCCATACTGTTTTCCATCGTGGCTGCAACAGTTTGCATTCCCAACAACACTCTTTGCCTCTGGTCTCTTTCATACCTGCTACCCTACCCTGCTGGAGCTGATGCTGTGGTTTGATTTACATTTTCCTGAGGATCTGCCATGTTGAGCATGTTTCATGGACCCGAGGGGCTTCTGGGTGTCTTCTTAAGAACAGCATTTCCTTGGGGCGCCTGGGTGGCTTAGTCGGTTGAGCGTCCGACTTTCGCTTAGGTCATGATCTCGCGGTTCGTGGGTTCGAGCCCCGCGTCGGGCTCTGTGCTGACTGCCAGCTCAGAGCCTGGAGCCTGTTTCAGTCTGTGATTCCCTCTCTCTCTGACCCTCTCCTGCTCACGCTGTCTCTTTCTCTCTCCTAGAAAAAAAAAAAAAAACATAAAAAAAAAAGAACAGCATTTCCTCGGGGCCTCTGCCCAGCATTTAACCAGTCACAAGCATTTGCGTATAGTTCCTCTGGCTATGTTTCCCGCACATTTTAAAATAAAACAAAAAAAGTCATCTTTTCAGATAAAGTACTGGTCTCAAAAGTGTGTTGTATGAGATGATCTATTGTGGGATCCAAAGAAAATACAAGAATGTCTATTTATAGTTTTATTTTGATCAAGAAAAAATACCCACTTCGAGCATGTACTAGGACTTCCCTGGCACAATGATCTGTGTGTCACACGGTGACAGTGGACAGCCCCGAGAGGACCCCTCCTACTCATTGGGTGGATTCTGGATTATTGCTGCCTCAGGAGCACAGACAGCACTGAACGAACCAACACAGAATGGTTGCCTTGCTAGAAAGTTCCCCTCCCAGGATGCAGAGATTGGAGACAACACAGGTAAGGGAAGGAGGAGAAAAAGCCGGAGCTGGCTTGTCCCACGCCTGGCCTGAGCTCCCGTCTGCCCGCTGTGAGGCAACACAGATGGCCAATGAATTGGACAAAGGAGCTCATTACAGATTCAAATTTGTTTAGGTCTCTAGGATGGGATGTCTCTGACTAGCCCCTAAATGTATTTCTAACACAGAGGTCTGCTGTAACATTGCTTTAAAATAGGAGTAATGTAAACAGTCTAAAGTTCCCTAGCTTCTACATGTGCCTGGCCTGAATTTTTGAATTTGAAAATGTAAACTTGCACAATATTCAAGAAGACCGTATGAAGTATAGCTTCACCTCTGCTCCTGTGATACGACTCTTCTTCTAAACATACTGAGCCTTGAACAATTACCTACTGTTGTATGAAGCCATCACAAAATGTAAGATATGAAAATATTGTTTGCTTCATGGGGATGGATATCTTATATTTTTCTAAGTTTTAATTTTTGGTGTACACTTAAAAATGTACAATTCACAAATTAATAAATATTCCTATTGTGAGATTGTCTACTTAAAATATTTTAACGTGTTTTTTGCAATCTTGCCATAAAATCGATGAACCACTAACAGACTTTATTTCTTTCCCTCTCTACCTCCTAATGATGTTGAAGGCTAACATTCTGTTTTCATTTTTTTAAAGTTTATTTTGACAGAGAGACAGAAAGAGAGAGAGACAGAGAGAGAGGGAGAGAGAGCAAGCAGGGGAGGGCAGAGGGAGAGAGAATTAAAAAAAATTTTTTTTAATGTTTATTCATTTTTGAGAGACACTGTGAGTGGGGGAGGGACAGAGAGGGAGACACAGAATCGGAAGCAGGCTCCAGGCTCTGAGCTGTCAGCACAGATTCCCATGCGGGGCTCGAACTCACGAGTTGTGAGGTCATGACCAGAGCCGAAGTTGCACGTTCAACCGACTGAGCCACCCAGGCGCACTGGGAGAGAGAATCTTAAGCAGGCATGCTGCCAGAGCCGAGCTTCATGTGGGGCTTGATCAGACACCTGACCAGAAATCAAGAACCTGATGCTTAACTGACTGACGCTCCCAGGCACCCCTTCCTATTTGTAATTTTACTAGTGACTTCCTATAAATCATTAAAAAAAAATAATTTAAAGTTACTCTGTCTCTAGTTATCAATGTTATGAACAGATTTCCATGCCTGTTCCCATGTTTCGCGAGAATGAAGCACATTTTTTCTCTCTCCTATTTCTCGGTTTTTGCTTATACAACTTGAGGTTTTATATACAGTCTATAATTCCTGAGTCTTGTTTATTTAATGTCTTCCTTTCCAGAAATATTTGAATTACCAATCTGGTTCTCTACCAGCTTGGGACGCATGTGCTGAAGTAGATCCATGTTCACGTTTCGCTATGAGAAAGAGGTTGAGGGTCACGGTCTTGTGTACTGGGTGAGGCATCGGATCTGGAAAACCTCAGGAAAAGTGGATGTTAGGGGATGTTTAGATTGCTAACATTATTCCTCTATTCTAAAGCAATGTTACAACCGATGTCTGTGTCCATTATAAATACAGTAGTGCCCCCTTGCCCATGGGAGGTACACTCCCCCATGGGATGTCTGAGGTCACAGAGTCCCTAACCCCATAGACACGATGTTCTTTCCTGTGTACACACACCTGCGATGAAGGTTAATTTATAAGTTAGGCGCCATAAGAGATTAACGATAGTAACTAATAAAAGTAGAACAATTATAACAGTATACTGTAATAAAAACTATGTGCATGTGATCTCTCTCTCAATGTCTCACTGTCCCACACTCACCTTCCTCCTTCATATGATGGTGTCAGATGATACAATGCTCATGTGACGAGAAGTGAGGTTAAGGACGCAGGCATCGGGATGCAGCGTTAGGCTACTGCTGACCTTCTGGCCAGCTGTCACAAGGAGGTCATCTGCCTCCTGACTGCAGAAGGCAAAGCCATGAAACCACAAATAAGAGAGAACTACTGCATATGTGGCTTCCGTGAAAAAGGTCAACACGGTGACCTCAACAAATCATGGGGTGATTTTTCTCTTGCCTTCAGAAAAAATCTGTAGGCAAGCAGTTCAGGACATGAGTAGCAACTCTGTGAAGCGTCGAGGTCCCAGGCTACTTGTAGTTTTCTGTTCCTCAGTGTGTGGCCTCTCTCCTCAAGGTCACAAAAATGGCTGCTATAACTCTCGCCATCTCGTTACAAGTTCCAGACACCACGAAGAAGAAAAGAGGGGAAGGGTGAGAGAGCTTTTTCTTGAGTTTCCCCCAAGAAATTCTTGTATTTCATCAGCCCTCCCTTACAAAGGTCTGGGAAATGTCAGGCTCATAACTGACATAATTGCCACCAAGTAGATAGGGAGGGAAAGACCAGAGAGTGGGGAAGCAGCTAACAGTCAGGCATGACCTCCTTAGACATGCCCTTGGGCGCTGTTGACTTTTGTTCCTGTTATACTGCCTGATCACTCCCCGAGTTCCCTTTTTTCCACAGTCTTGACAATGCTCCCTATGATTATCCTCTCAATGTGATATATGGAAATGATCTTCCCTTTCACTTCTTTTTTTTTTAAAAGGTATATTATTTAAGTTTATTTATTTATTTTGAGAAAGAGAGAGTACGCACATGAATAGGGGATGGGGAGAGAGAGACATACACAGAGAGAGCATGCACTTGAGTGGGGGATGGGGAAAGAGAGAGAAGGGGGTAGAGAGAGAGACAGAGAGAGAGAGAGAGACAGAATCCCCAGTAGTCTCCATGCTATCAGCACAGAGCCCGATGTGGGGCTTGAACTCAAGTGAGATCATGACCTGAGCCGGAATCAGGAGTCGGATGCTCAACCCAACCGACTCAGCCACCCAGGTGCCCCTCTCTTTCATTTCTTATTTCTGTGATGATTAGTGAACTTGAGCATGTTTTTGGAAGTCAACTTGTTGGCCTTGACAAAAAGAAATTTGTCCAGGGGAAAAACTCTTCCCTTCTCTGCCGTCCCTGCCCTCCCTCATCCCCCGACCCAACTGGCCAAACAAGACTTGACTTGTACAGAGTGTTCAGGACTGGAGGTGTATGAAAAGTTGATAGAGGCGGTGCAGACAGCTTCTGTGACAGAGCCTCTGAGAGAGTCATGAATTTCTTCTGGAAGGAGTAACATTCCAACCAAGAATTAAAGACCAAGGGGGATGCTTGCTAGTCAGGGTCACAAAAGCTGGGTGAAGAGAGACAGAGAAGTGACTATTTAGAATATTCTGGGAAGTTGCTGATTCCATTCCCATATATGGTTCTTGAGGTGCTGGTCAGTCTGCGGTCATGTCCTCCCTGGGGGGAGAAGCAGCCGGCTGAGAGGAGGGAGAGGGTCAGCTCCATCCACATGTGCGGTGTGGATCTGCACGTGCCCTCTGCCCTGTCTCCACCGACAGAGACAGAATAGGCAGCAGATGCATGTACGTCGGGGCTGTAAGGGTCCTGCTCATGCAACTCACTTCTGTCACCAGTCGTGCTGGGGCTGCCCTTGTAGACAACCTCTGCTCGCAAGGCTACCAGATGCACAGAAAATGCGCGGCCGAGGACAGTCAGCTCCGGTTACATGGTCATTTGGTGTGTCCCATGGTCTGGTGCTAAGTGTCTACCAATATCAAGCCTAAAACCCTAGGAGAGGAGAGGTGTTTTCCAAATAAGATGTGGTTCTGCTTAATCCCAGAGGAACCTCAGAGAATGTTCTTTTGTCAAGCTCCAAAGAGAAACTGGAGAGCTCAGGATCACATAAAACCCCCGTGGCTGCAACACCACAGGGCCGGTGGTGGATCCACCTACCTTCTAGCACCAGCAGGAGAACCTTCTCTTGCTCTTGCACGTTGGCTGGGATGTGGTAAACCTAGTGGCATTGCAACCCCGTTGTGACATGTTTGCCGGATTCACAAACCCTGAGAAAGCCTGGTGTCTCCTTCTCTCTGCAGGGGCATGAAAGTGAGACAATTTGCTTCTTCTTTTTCTTTCTTTTTTTTTTTAAATAGCTATTGTCAAGTTGGTTTCCATATACCACCCAGCGTTCATCCCCACAAGTGCCCTATCCCATCCCCATCACCCACTTCCCCTCTCCCCCACCCACATCAGTCCTCAGTTTGTTCTCAACATTCAAGAGTCTCTCATGGTTTGCCTCCCTCCCGAGACAATTTGCTTCTACCTTTGAGGGATACGCTGATGTTCCCCCAAGTGACTGGAGCCCTAGAAATTGTCATATATTGGGAGGAACCTTGATTTTCATGAGACTTATGTCTACTTCCTGGTGCTGTGCTGTGGGTCAGGGATCCAGGGTACTGGCTGCGTCCTGCTCACTTGGTTGGAAAGTAAGGATGTCCCACAGCACAAGCAGCATTTGTGAGCAGCACAGGGACCGGGAATGGAAGGGAAGAGAAAGCAGGAGAGAGATCCTCATACAAACTCATTCTGTTTGCTTTCTGCAGAAGAAAGAAGGGAAGCAGGAACTTCACACACTTGAAGAGATGCTCCCGGAGGGGAGTTGACCAGAACCCACCATGCAGTCTATCCCTTTACTGCCCACAAAAGTGGAAATTGGGAAGGGAGGGAGATGGCAGAGAGAACAGAGGTGCCGGATGCCCTGGGGCCCTGTCCCCTTCATACTAGATAGGGACACAGGAGGAGGGAATGAGATCAGCTGAGAAGTGGAGGGAACATCTCAGGCTCATCCACCTGGATTTTGTCCCCCGCATCACGGAGCCCCTCACTTCCCCTCCTGCCACCCTGTATCCTGGATGGTCAGAGCTGGACCCCTCGGAGGCCACGTGTCCGGTGCCTTTCAGGGACTTGCTGCCCCCAGTGTCCCCAAGCCTTCCTCCCCGGCCTCTGGCTCCAGGCAAATAGACAGCCGTGCTAGAGCTGGACCCCGGCTGTAGGGCCCATGTTGGAGCCTGTGTGTCCACCTCTCTCCCCTCTCACTGCTGTGGCCCTTTAACTGTTTTCCACAGCGTTCTCTAAACCACTCACAACAGGAACACCCTCCCGGGAGCACCACTGACACCAACTGCTCCATTCTTCTTGTCCGGGAGCTGAGCAGGAACAGGAAGGGCAGGACTGTCCACTCATGACCTCGAGGCTCCCTCCCATCCCCCTCCTCCCACACCATCCGGTTCTGGGGCCTGATTTTCATGCGCATTGAGGCCCCGCTGGGACACAGAGTCCCCCAGGAGTCCCGTCAGGCGGGGTGGACGCCTGGGAGGACAAGGGAAATGTGACTGTCACTGGGACGGTCAGTCAGAGTGGGTGCCAGGCAGGAGGAAAAGAGGGGGAGAGAGGCTCTCGGGAACGTCAGCCGCC